AGTCGAGGTCTTGTCTGACGGCATCAAGATTCTACAAACTGGACTCTACTACATCTACAGCAACTTACACTTCCAGGCTGGTAATGTCACCCCGTGCACGGATCTCATCCACAAGGTGATTGAAGGGTACATTACATCCATTAAATTATCCATGAATGTTACTAATCGATTTATTACCATTATTTCATGAATACAATTATTATAACGAACCTATATATATATTTAAATATATATATATATATATATATATATATATATATATATATATATATATATATATATATGTATATATATATATATATATATATATATGTAAATATATATGTATATGTATGTATATATATTATATATATTTATGTGTGTGTGTGTTATTTTTAATTTAAGGAAACCATAATTTTCCTACAAAAACAATATGGCGTTGACCGAAAACACCGGACCTACATAGCCTCGTCTAAACTCACATGTTGTGAAACGTGTGTGCTAAGTCAGGAGACGAGCTACACAGGTGGGTGTGTGACACATTTCCTTATGCTTAATTACCAATTTATGCAACACATAACAGCACTGTACCATTGTAGAGATCCAATGATTGAATACAAACGTATCTTGTGAAACTTGATTCATCAAGTGCCTGATTTATTTCTCTACCCAGCCACGACTACAATCCTACAAGCTGGTGACGTTATCCGTGTTGTAGTTTCTGGCTACGGTATGGACAATCTCCAGAGTCTGTCAAGTTTTGTTGGACTGTTTATGTTGGCGGCTGTGTAGTGTGGGGGATCAGCATGACAGCAGACGTCATTACAAAGGAGAACTGACAAACCTTGCTTATCTGTACTCTTGTGCAAAGTAGTAACAAGAGCTGCGAGATGTCTTTAAAGTGTTGCTTAATGCAATTTTAAATTATATTTTTTTGTTTTTAATTAGGCATATAATATTTTTATAACTAACAAAAAATCAAGTAAATTTAAAATACAATATTACAAAATGTAAATGTTTCTCTTTTAAGAATATGTTGTATTAAACATTTTCAGCTATTTATTTAACTATTTTTATTCGTAACTCATTCAGTTGAGAAGTGGTAACGCAACTTCAATTATTCACGAAATATTGTACTCCTGTTTCGATGCTAATACAACATTTGTCTAAGAATAAAAAAAATCTCGTAAGTAATAAATGTATCTCTAGTCGTCACTGACTTATGCGAGATAATTTCCGATGTTTAGTAATAATTGATTTGAAAAAAAATTACAAATCAACATTTGGTTGTTAGTAAAAGGATATTGCCCAGTCATTGATTTTGATTTAAATTTTAAACCTTATTGAGTTATCAATAGGTTGTTGATACTATTCGAAATAAAATATGTTTTATTTTTATTTCCGATTCAGAGTAGTTACGATTGTGGAGATATGTTTAAACTGTTTCTTAAGTAGGCCGTATCTAGTGATGTTGGTTCGTTCATGATGATGGTTGCGGAGGATGGTTGATCTAGTTTTTATATTTATCATAGATTTTATGAATTGAAATTTAATGAAAAACCATTAGTGTAAGTAAAATTTATTGTATGGATAAAATTATAAACTAAAATTAAGCTAACAACTGAAAGCCCTTTGAGGGAATTTTGAATAATTCTAATGCAATCTGTTTGATGGGTAGTTGTGTGTATATTATACGCTAGTATATAGTAGAATAAAGGGCCCGAATATTTTCACGTACGCACCAGTGTTTCTTCCAAGGGGCACTTGGTACTTTCGGAGGGGGGGGGGGAGGCGGTCTAATTTTTTTGGGAGGGAGGACACGGGTTAAAGTATATTTTCTATATTAATTCAATTTCGTTCGTAGGAGCGGTGTCTCAGACCCCCCCATCCCCGCCCCAAATAGATGCCTGGAAGAAACACTGGTACAAACTTTCATTCTCTGTTTTGTTAATATTTGGCTATGGGACATTTTTTTTTGCTTCTAAACCTTGCATGTCATTGCGCCAAAGTACTTTATTTAGAGGTTGAAAATAGCGCGTTGTGGAACAATAAAGGTTCTTTGTTTTGAAGTTGTCCATTTAGCAACCTGCCAACTTAAATCCTTGTTGAGAAACAGTAGCCTGCTAAAATCAACTGACTTTTTTTAACAGTTGTAAGGTAATGGATTTAATTGAGCAAAGTTTTGAATTTATTTCTATGGCCGATTACAATATTTTTAAATACATTTACGATATTTTAAAATTAAATAATGTAATAAAATCTGTTTGCTTTCTTTTGTTGGATTTTACTATAGAATGAACGGATTTTATGGTTTTATTATTTTCGTTACCCTAGCTAAATTTGGAAAACGTCAAACATAATTTGGTATTTTACATTTTGTCACTGAAAATGTACATAAACTTGGCATAACAAAAACATGTCGATTGAAAAAAAGTATAATTATAGTTTTGAGTATAATAAATTACTAGGAGGTAGGGTTTTTAGAAGATCGATCACCGAACTTCTGTATACGTATTATCGTTTATTTTACTTTCTCGTATATACGAAGTATAGAGAAAGTATTGTAATCGTGCAAAAAAAAAATCGAGCATTTTGCATTATCTTGACGTTTTACACCACCCTGAGTCGGAAAACAAAGTTTTGCAAACTTGTCCGTGTGTGTGTGTGTGTGTGTCTATGTGTGTCTGTAAACCCGATTATCCGAAGTGGAACTTTTTCTATTTTTAATTTTTTCAAAAGCCTATTACTTGAGTACTATTTCGAATAGATAAATGAAATTTAACAAGTAAGTAAAAGATCTCTAATTCTCTGCCTTCTGTCAAATTTTGAGTAATTGTCGTTAACCGGAAGTAGTAATTTACGTTTTTTCCGATTTCTCAAAATCGCATGTGAATTTATAAAGCACTAATAATATTCCTCAATATTATACACATTTTGTTTGGTTTGCAATTCTTTTCTCTACGAGATTCTATTCTATTTTAAAAAGTTTAAGTAAGTTCAAATGCGTAGTGTTGTATAAGAATATTCGAGAAAGTTTAAGGGAGATCACTCGCGGTTTATTTAATACTGAGAATCAGTAGTTCACAATTTTGAGTCTTTAGTGAATACACTATGGGCGAAAAACGAACTCCCATATCAGTCAGCTGAATATAATACAGTTAATTGCATTACAATACTGGATGATCGTCACTATTTAAGCTCGACCTATTTCAATGAGCTTAAAGCATGTGGTAAACTGCATGGATTGTTAAATATTATCTATTCTTTGTAATGTGCAATCTAAGGCTATCTGACAAGTCTGATTTAGAAAATACAGTCCTTGAAGACGTGCCAAAGTTCTCTTTTGCCCTCTACAACGATTCATAACCTTAACCTACAACGCCAGAATGTAGGCCAGATAAAGTCTATAACTTCGTAAGGTAAAAGCAAATACCAACGAAAACATATCTGGCGTAAAGATAAAAGTTTTCTAAAATAGCTACAATGATAAAGATTTTGCTTAGTAATCTGACCTAGATGACAACTCAATAATCCATTCTTGCTCTTTGAGGAAGTATATAATGGAGTTGATACAAGCATTGCATCTCAGTCACTACACTGGGTGGATTAAACAGCATTCTGATCAAGATTGTAAGTTATAATTTTTATTTGCAATTTTTCAATAATAAAAACGATAGTGTTTTTAAAATGGTTTCATTTTGCTTTAGTTAATCAATTCGTTCAATTATTATTTTATAAAATATTTTTTTTGTAATTAAATATCAATATCAGTTTAGACAAAATAAAAAAAACCACTGAATGCTATATAAACCTTTTTTTTAAAGAACAGAGATAAATACAATTTTTGTAAAGAGTGCCCACATGTCTAAAATAAAAACTTATATTGATTGTTGCAGGAAGCAGTAAGTAATTTTGTGTAATTTACATCAGTTTTTGTCACAATAAAAGTTAATGTTATTGTAAGCTACATTGGAAATTAATATATATATATATATAACCGAATTCTTACCGCTTACTTCGAAACTGCATATGTTACATGTTGATAAGTTTATTTCACGACATTGGGTATTTTAAAATTTAAATAGAGTATAGAGGAAACGGTGTGTATTTAGGGTGACCTCAAATCTTGTGATAAGATGACGTAATATTTAAATATAGGTCATGGCTAAGCGAGAGGTAGTATTATATTCAAAGAAAGTGTGAACACGTATGGGTATGGGCAAGTCGTCTGATATAAATAGGTCACACAGGTTGTGGTAGGAAGTATATAATGGCGTTGATACAAGCATTGTATCTCAGTCACTACCCTGGGTGGATTAATCAGCATTCTTCTTAAGATTGTAAGTTATAATTTTTTATTTGCAATCTTTCAATAATGAAAACGATAGTGCTTTGATACAATGGCTTCGTTTTACTTTATTTAATCAGTTTGTTCAATAATTATTTTATAAAATATTTTTGTAATTAAAATCTCAATATCAGTTTAGACTAAATTTAAAAAAAAAACCACTGAATTCTATATCAAACTTTTTTTTAAAGAACAGAGATAAACACAAAAATTGTTTTTAAAGAGTACACAATGTCAAAAACAAAAATTTATATTGATTGTTGCAGGAAGCAGTAAGTTATTTTCTGTAATTTACATAAGTTTTTGTCACAATAAAAGTTAATGTTATTGTAAGCTACATTGGAAATTAATATATATATATATATATATATATATATATAAAACCGAATTCTTACCGCTAACTTCGAAACTGCATATGTTACATGATGCTAAGTTTATTTAACGACATACGGTATTTTAAAATTTAAATAGTGTATAGAGAAAACGGTGTGTATTTAGCGTGACCTCAGTGTAATGACGCAATATTGAAATTTAGGTCAAAGATAAGCGAGAGATAGCATTACATTAAAAAAAGTCTTAACAGGTATTTGTTGTTTAAGGATCAAGACTGTTATCTCAGTAGTTTTTCTTTTTATTTCAGAGTGTATTTTAAAAGAGTCAATTACTCCTAAAAATGACGAACACTGCCGAATCTAAAAACTTAAATGTGATTATTCCTAGGTAAAATTAAATTTAAAATGTCGATTTAATTGTTTGTTATTGAAAATGAAATTTTTAATGCCTTAATATTGTTTGTTAACGCATTAAAAAATTATATAGGATAATTTCATTTTCCAAGTTAAAGCTACAATACTCTGAAAATTATTAATGATTTGTGTGTGTTTTTAATCATAGACTTCATTTAGCTATCAGTGCGGTGGCAGTATTAATAATCTGTATTAGTCTCATTTTAGTCCTGCATCGGTACACATTACACCCGATTCAGGAAAAAATGGTACGTAATTGAAACATTTGAGTATTCAATCATTTAATTATATATATATATATATATATATATATATATATATATATATATATATATATATATATATATATATATATATATATATATACATATATATATATATATTTATATATATATATATATATATATATATATATATATATATATATATATATATATATACATATATAGTGTCAGTCATAATGTTTAACATCCTCTAATTTATTTCAGCTTGTTGCCTCAGAAATAAATGCTACAAACCGTTCGACAGAAGTGACAACTACAATTAGCAGATTTTCCCACGTATCAGCACAATGTCTTGTCTCACTGCCTGAACATCAATCAGTAGATCGATCTGGTAAATTGACTCCTTATTTAAGTTTTAGGTAAATATTTCTAAAAAAATGTGCTTACATTTTTCTCACCATCCATATTCTCTATTATATGTATCTATCAAGGATATTTACTTTAAAAGATAGGGTTTTATTTAACTTTAATCGATACAACTTCTGTTGGTAAGTCAGCTTAAAGTCCATAGCAGTATTCACTCTTTAGGTTTTCAATGTGTGACTAACATCCCTATTCCAAAATATAATCATAGGATCTTCTCAATTGTTTAATTTATCTTTGTTCCACGTAGCTGGTGCCCGTCTCTTGTTCCAGCACCAGAACTCTACACCAGACCCACTTATAGAACATTCCAGAGGAGTCGAGGTCTTGTCTGACGGCATCAAGATTCTACACACTGGTCTCTACAACATCTACAGCAACTTACACTTCAAGGCTGGTAATATCATACCGTGCACGGAACTCACCAACAAGGTGATTGGAGGTTACATTACATCCATTAAATTATCCGTGAATGTTATTAATCGATTTATTGCCATTATGTCATGCACACAATTATTATAATGAACCTGTTTTGTACATATTTTCAATTATATATATATATATATATATATATATATATATGTGTGTGTGTGTTATTTTTAATTTAAGGAAACCATCATTTTCCTACAAAAACAATATGGCGTTGACCGAAAACATCAGACCTACGTAGCGTCGTCTCGACTCATGTGTTGCGAAACGTGTGTGCTAAGTCAGGAGACGAGCTACACAGGTGGGTGTGTGGCACATTTCCTTATGCGTAATTACCAATCTATTCAACACATAACAGCACTGTACCATTGTAGAGATCCAATGATTGAATACAAACGTATCTTGTGAATCTTAATTCACCTAGTGCCTTATTTATTTCTCTACCCAGCCACGACCACAATCCTACAAACCAGTGACGTCATCCGTGTTGTAGTTTCTGGCTACGGTATGAACCATCTCCAGAGTGAGTCAAGTTTTGTTGGACTGTTTATGTTGGCGGCTGTATAGCGTTGGGGATCAGCATATGACAGCAGACGTCAATACAAAGGAGAACTGACAACCCTTGCTTATCTTTACTTCAGTGCAGAGTAGTAACAAGTGTTGCGAGATGTCTTTAAACTGTTTGCTTAATGTAATTTTAAATCATATTATTTTTGTTTTTAATTATGCATATAATATTTTTATAACTAAAAAATAAAGTAAATATAAAATGCAATATTACAAAATGTATATGTTGTTTCTCTTTTAAGAATATGTTGTGTTAAACATTTTCAGCTATTTATTGAACTGTTTTCATTCGTCACCCATTTCGTTGAGAAATGGTAAAGCTCTTTCAATTATTCGCGAACTATTGTACTACTATTTCGATGCTAATACAACGACATTTGTCTAAGAGTGAAAAGAATCTCTTAAGTAATAAATGTATCTCTAGTCGTCACTAACTTATGCGAGATAATTTCCGATGTTTAGTAATGATTGATTTGAAAAAAAAAATACAAATCAATAATTGGTTTTTAGTAAAAGGATATTGCCCTGTCATTGATTTTTATTTAAATTTTAAACCTTATTGGGTTATCAATAGGTTGTTGAAACTAAGCGAAATGAAATATGTTATTTATTCCGATTCAGAGTAGTTACGATTGTGGAGATATGTTTAAACTGTTTCTTAAGTTGGCCGTATCTACTTATGTTGGTTCGTTCATGATGATGGTTGCGGAGGAGGGTTGATCTAGTTTTCACACCATATGATGAAGACAGATTTAAATAGAAAGAGGAAACATATGATTAATTTTACATTTTATAGACCCTTGAGTTATTTTTGTTTCAAATTTTTAGAATGTGTAGTCGTATCGCCTATAATATTGTGGCTGTTTTATTATAAAACCAAATTTTAGCATCGAATCATTTTAAATTATTTTCGAATCAGTAATTAAATTTTAAAAGTTTGCAGGACTGTATTATTTGAGTTGCAATTATTAATTACTATATTTTAATAAATAGTTATCCAAATGACACACACTAAACCAAACGTGGATTAAAAATAAACAATAGCCATTGTGTCAAAGTTTGCTTACCTTACTCATAGTGTTTATATGTATAGCGTTATTGAATTTTCATTTAATTTCTTGTATATTGTTATATAAAAAGGAAATGTTCTGATAGCTCTACCGTTGGGTTTGGGCTATAGAAAAAGAGGTAATTTTGAAAAAAAAATCTCTAATTTTTTTTAGAAAAATAAGAGATACAAAATATATATGCGAAAAGTTCCAAAAAGCTTATTTATAATAATAACATGATATAAAAGTTTGAAATTCTTCGATTTTTTTTTAAAAAGGGAAATAGCTCACCGCTTATAGAAACCAACGTATAGGATCTAATAGCTAAATTTACTCGAATATTATTTAAAATAAAATTGTATCCGAATTTAGACGACTTCACTGCCAAACAAACAAAGATTTATATAAAATATTTTAGGCCTAAAATAATTTAGTGAAGAAACTCAATAGCTCATTGTTTAATTGGCCTGAATCTCGAAAATGGTAACTTTTTACTTTAAAGCTATTGTTTTGACTACTAAGTCACAAAAAGCATGTAAAGTGCTGGTAAGTAGGTCACCAACCCATTCTATGGCTCATGTAGGATTTATTTAGCTGAAGAACTGGTTGTGACCTACTTACTTACCAGCCCTATTATTGAACAGAAGAGCACATAAGTTAATACAAAATAATCTGTACTCATTTCAACATGTTTTACAAACGAAACTTTGTTTCGACTTTTATTTTTTGGTTGGCCGGCTGTACAATATGTTTCATTAACTTCCTATCATTTGATATAACCCAGTAATTAAACATGTACACTATAAAAGTTATACCAGTATTAGTGTTCTATATTGCATTAACTTGACACGGCCATAATAAAATAGTGATTAAAATATTCGTACAATAAATGCATGTGTTTATAGATTTTACATACTAAAAGGGTTACTAACATCGTACAGAAGAGTTTTAAAAAAGGATACATTCTTAATTTCCCTTTACATGAAGCCACACAATCCCCTCACACTATGAACACAAAAAAAATTATATTCACTGTGAACAAGTAACGCCTTTCAGCCTAAATTCTCTTTTAACACGTTTACTTTTTAAATGTAAATAGTGATCATATTTTCTGACCTACCCCCACGCCGTCATCGTCACACGTCGTCAGAAAAATCCGACAAGTAGAAATGTGACGTCATTTGTGAACCTGAAAGACTCAAGTTCAAATCCGGGTTTAATTCAATAGAACTTCCCTGAGTCCGCCCAGCTCTGATGGGTATCAGAAAGTTAAGGGGCAGTAGAGGTAGATGGACAAACAGCTAATCACACGATCTCTCCATATACTGATTCTAAAGTTTATCTAATCATTAACTATTAACAGAAATAAAGCATCCAGCCTCACACGAACTCTAAATTTAAACAAACCCTTAACTCTTACCACATTATGGATATGATTGTTTAAGTGTTATGGTAATGCTCAGGAACAACTTGTGATCAATGTCGGGGAATGGGTTAATATACAGAAGTAATTGAAGTAAGGGGAGTAGTTGACTAGACGTAATGTCCTGCTTGAAAATATTTACCTAACATAACTATTAGTCCTTAAAAAAACAAAAGGTGTTATATACGGGGAGGTGAAAGGTATATATCGTAACGTGTGATATCCTGATCATAAAACGATACAAAACATTAGCTGTGTTTACAATATGTATTGAGGATATTATTATGGGTTAGCGTATGGATATATTTAGGAACCAGATCACTCGATGTTCTGACTTGGTTCTTTATCTCGATGTTGACTTTATGAGGCTCAATCTTGACCAGTGGAGCATCGTTAGACGACCTGAAATGTGCTCTGATGTATCACATCAGGCACATCCTCGCCACGGTCTGCTGATCGCTTGCGTTAATTAACAGGTTTCACTGTAACTTCGTAGCTCTTCCTTATGACGTCATCAAACCTCCCAGTGAGATGGAAGACGTATCTGTTTTTATTACACAAATCGTCGATTAAACTTTTTGCATCCGGGTATGCGTGTTTCATGAGTTCCCACAACCAAGGCGATAACATAGCATCGTTTTTATTTTTCAGATCCTCGTAGAAAGGTGTGCGGGAATCGCCGAATTTGTAGTTAAACGTGGGTCGATCTTTGCTACCACGATACGTGTTATGGTAGTTAGACTCGATACTATTTGGTCCATTACCCCAGCGCAAAAATCCTTGAAGCTCAGTGGAAAACTTCGCCATAACGGTAGCAGTGTAGGTTGTAGTGGTTCTAGTTTTGTGAACGATATAATGTAATTTTACTGCAGAATGCGGGTTCAAGTCTTTTGATGTGCTGTGAGTTAAGATTCCAAAGTTTTCTTTATTGTTTTGGTCGGATGTAACTGTGCTGTTTTCATACTTGAAGGTATAAACGACAGGTGTACTATTAACTGTTGAGGGGGGTGTGTAGCTGATCTGACCGTTCAGCTCGTCGCTGTGTTTCCAAGAACTTGTTGTGGTGTGAGTTACACTACGTACTTTCGGAATAATTCTCGAGTAAGTCTTTGTGGCTTTAAAGCTTTCATTATTTTCAAGAGTAACAATCTCAATAGTTTCCGGAATCAAGTCTTGTAATACAGGCGTTCCATATTTGATGTGATTTATTTCAAATCTCCAGTCACCGTAGGCCATGCTCAGACGTTTATCGCTCATGTAGCCCTCACAACGTCCGCTTTTATCAGCGTGCCATGCGTCGCCAGTTCTTCTAAAATCTTCACCAACATACGGTGCCCTGCAACCCGAGCACCAGCCGTAGCCCAGGTAATGTGCCAGTAAAGCCATGTCCGACATCGTGGTGTCCATGATGCGAGTCTTCACCTTACTCGCTTCGTCGAGTTCTTCCGGAGCTGAAACCGTCTTGCAACACCGTAGTTTATCCAGGCAGTATAGTTTATCGCAGTCACCGCGATATATCCCCGTGACGTAGTAGTCGTTGTTACATCTACATAAGCCTTTGTTATCAAAGCATACTGAGATATCATGGTCATAGCAGTGTCCATAATATGACGGATGGTCAGCTTGTTTTGAGCATCTACCTTCTTCTATATTATTCAACAGGCCTTTGTTGATGTCGCTTCTGTACAAACCGTTTAGGAAATAACCATCCGGGCAGTTGGCCCAGGAGTCGCCTTTATCGAAGGTGGACCACCAATCAGCGTACACCGTCTGGGTTTTACACCGTGTCCGGTTTCTAGGGCTGCAGTCAGCCTTGTCAAACAACTGCAGGGGATCGTCATCCAAACCTGTCCTCTCGTTTCTATAGAAACCCGAGATGAATTCATCTCTATTGATACACTCTGCTAGAGCAACAAGCTTTGGGGAAGACTTTCGGGAGGATTTACAACCAGCTACGTAAGCCGACATAGCCAGTAGTGCGATAGGTAACGCCAACAGCATATTTATTGTATAGCCTGTAGAGTAAAAGAAATACACATTGTACAAAGTGGTAGCGCTAACTTATAATTGTATTTCTAGATCAGGTTACATTGCAAACAATCTTTGTTAATAAAATATGCATTAAATCCGATGGTAGACATCAATACCTTTCATTTCTTTAATTTCCAATTTACCCGAAGGAATTACCAAAACCTCTTTTCTAAACTTTACCCTAGCATTAGCTTTCCAACGCCTGATTATTACGACCGATGTATGAAATAATTTAAATTTTACTTTAAGTTAAAACACAACATTTAAATACGTAAAACCTAATTAGTGGTAAGTTGAATTGCGGTACTCGGGTTTCCATTGAAAAATGATAAAAGTTCGTTTTTTCGTCACGCATATTCGTGTTACGTACATATTACGTCTCTGTACCGTCCAATCATACAATACAGATAAATACTTCTGCACGATGTTTCTCTACTTAAAAAAAAATATTTAATTCCTCTGTGACAGTTATTTTATAGTAAAACATTGATGACTTGTAAGTCTGATTTGAATAAAAAGACCATATAAGAAATCTGTACTTTATTGGTATACGAAGACATACGATTGTCATGCAATTTATTTTGATAAAGTGGTATTAGCAGTTTAGCTAGATACAGATATGCTATATTCTTTAGCATCCTTGACAACGAGTCATTCACATTGTTTCAGAAATGCTTTACACACACACATTATATATATATATATATATATATATATATATATATACATATATATATATATATATATATATATATATAGAGAGAGAGAGAGAGAGAGAGAGAGAGAGAGAGAGAGAGCGAGAGAGAGAGCGAGAGAAAGGATCATAGTGAGAAAGAAAGAAAAAACAACATATCATGTTATCAACAGTATTTTTAAACTGATATTTATACTCACAATACTTGTGTAGTCGAAAACAACTTTCACAGGAAAGTTAGCCTACGTAAACATGAGCCAAAAATGTTATCTACTTCACCAGAGGTGAGAGATTATGTTAAAAGACATCGCTGTACCACGACTTAACTATATGCATTGTTGTGGTTAAGTCGACGCATCTAGCCAGATGTTAGACTTCCATTTTTTGTGATGTACGCCTACTTCATTAATTCTCAGGTTATGGGATAAGATAATGCATAGTTTAGGTTACACAATATAAGAGACGTTGCTGCTAGGGGGTGTGTTGAAGCGGCCTTCCATGGCGTCGACCCCTGGGCTGTTCTAGAAATGTAGAAAATTTAAAAATCTCATTTTGTGATGCATTACGGTATTCATCATAGATGAGTTTTAAGCAAATATACTATATCCTTTTACAGACCGATTAAAATATGTTCAAGTTCTTTATAACTGTTGATAAAAAAAAATAAGCTGGGAGTGATCTATCCTAAACTTTCTAGTGTATTTTTATATAACAAGGGTTGGAACGGTATTTAAATAAAAGGGGTACAGAAATACTAATATTTATAACAAAAGAGCTTTTTCTCGAAAACACATAGGCGAAAGGTTCTTAAAATAATATGCTTTATGATAATATAATATCAAATTATCGAATTCTGACTGTTTTTGAGAAATCGGAATCCAAGTACCCTAGTCAGGTGACCAGGCATTGTCCTTTGTAAAGGAGACAATAGATTTGAAACATAGTCCACCCATCTGAATCGGTAGTAAAATAAAACACTACTTCTGTTTAATCGGTGTGATCTTCAGTGAGATCTTCAATGTAATTTGTGTCTAGTTTTTGTTTGGAATTTCATTAATCAGACTACGATTAGGCGACGAAATATTTCAGATAAAAATCAATAGATAATTCAAAGTATAGGCCCTAAAAGTGTACTATGGCATTTCTTGTAAAAGCAAAAACACGTAAACGTAAATAAAACCGAAGTTTCAAGTATTATATTATTTTTTAATATTTGTATGATACAGGATGCTACATGCTAGTACAGGATAAAAGTTCTACAAATATCACAAACACATATTAACATTGAAAAATGTACAATGGATTTCGGGCCCCAAATAAATGCCGCAAAGAAGTACCGCACATCATGAAAGCCCACTACATAATTATCTTGCGGCTTGTCGAGCAATGGACTTTTTTCAAAGGAATTTTCCAGTGATAGCGTGTGTTTGATTGTAGGGGAAATAGAACTCGGCCTTGGCAATGGTTAAAAAATACAATTATAAATAACTTTTTTTAATATATAAATAAATTTGACAACAATTTTCGAGCCCACTATAGGGTCCCAACCCCCTGACCCATCTGCCACAGTACACTTTGGAGGATCGGTCGAACAGTTACGTGAACCCTATTTGGCTGTCAAAGGGAGCAAGGAGTAACAGAAGACATTAATATTTGAAGTTTTGCCTGTATTTTACACTACAGTTTGTGTAGTGGATTTTTAATGTTTACGAAAGTGACTGTAAAATAAAGATAGTCGTACCGCAGCTACAGAATTTATTTTTACAAACCAGATATCTAGGTGAAAATGCACGAAAATTTAATTCAAAATTAAAAAAAAAAATTAATTATGGTCGGCTGTGGGGCCTAACGGCATGCCCCCCACCCCCCTCCCCAGCACTGCATTTCTTGCCCCTGCCATTAACCACAAAAAGGGACCAACGGTTGTTGATTTGAATATAGGTCTATGTTTTAAGTAATCAAAGACATAAACATACATTACATTTTGTCAAAAACCAAATAACAAAATGCCATGAACACAGAAGACATAAATAAAGATATTATTGTTTAACCATAATCTTGTTCTACACTTCTTAGACTATCTATTGTCCTTTTAATCAATGACAAAGTGATACTCTATATCTCCTGACCAATTCGGTACTTGGCGACAGCTGGTGTTGTCCCAGTTCTAACCTTGTTTGTTCGTCAAGACGTAATTGCATCTCATTTTTTTTTACTTATATACATTCGCAGGCTATAATAGTTAGGAAGAGCGTGTGTGTTTGTCTTCTCATTTTTAGTGCGTTTAATAACTCAGTGTTAAATACGTTTCTAAATATATGTTTCATTTTTTCTGTTTTTAAGTAATTTGTAATTTTCAAAATTTAAATTTTAATTCAATATTAAGGTTTATATTCTATACACTAAGTTTATCATGGGTCGGAATCCTGTTTCTCGAACAATGGAATAAAAAAATTGACAACGAGAGACCACCTCCTTACAACTAATATATATTATATATATATATATATATATATATATATATATATAGGTATATATTAACACCCCCCACCCACTCGCCTCCTAATCGATTATCGCCCTGGCGTGAATATATTTTTATTTGTACTACTAGCTCAAACAACAATGCTAAAGGCCGGTGGCTTCATCCGTGTTGTAGTTTCTGGCTACGATCTGGACCATCTCCAGAGTCTGTCTAGTTTTATTGAACTGTTTATGCTGTAGTGTTGTAAATGTGGATTTTACACCCTATCAAATATACATACATATTAAATAGACACAGTTATGTTTAGATCTCAACAATTGTAGTGGTTTTTGTTTTGATAACTGCAATGTTTCTGTAATTAAATATATGTACAGAAAAATTGCTAAAAACATAGTTTTATATATAGATCAATTTTATTATAAAGCTGTAAATAAACAGTGTGATCATAAAAAGTTTCTATTCATAAAACTATGTTTTTATCAAAATATTTGTTATTTTTTTGTTACAAAAGATTTGTAATTGGAAAGAATTGTTATGGAAGTTGTGATCCTACATCATCAAACCTAAATAACGCAGAATTCAAGTTAAAAAAAAAACAAAAAAAAAAACAAACAAACAATAGAAATGATTAAAAACAAAAACGAGTCTAATTGTGCATCGAAATTTATTGAACTTTAGTATATTATTTGCGATTGTAAACTAGTGTGGAAATATTGTGGAAAAAATAATGACAAGTAAATGAGGTTTAAGTAATTGTTACAATTGTTTTGCTTAATGTTTCATTCCTACAATGTTCAAATATCGATTAATGTGTGTTTATCTATTTGTGTAGGCACATCGGGGATAATTTTTTTCGTTTGTGGATTATAATATCCTTATCCCTGTACACAATCTTTGTATATGTTTTGATTCTATGATTAGTTCAGGATCATGAGAGTTTGCAAGATTAACACGATTTCAGTCTTGTTAATATGGATTATATAGGCACAAAAAACAAATTCACCACAATGACATTAGAATGATATTCTTTTTTCACGCAAACATTAGTAGCAATGGACACTATTAAAATAATAAACCTTTTTAAAATGTTTTTCCCGCTTTAGTTTTTTATAATTATTTTTTGAATTATTTTTTAATTATATTTTTTATTTTATTATTTTTTGTATATTTTTGTATATTTTAATTATTTTATAACATTGTAAAAGTATTTTTAATTTAATTATTTAATATTAAATTTCTAAAAAGTTTTGCCCGCTTTAGTTTTTTTATGATTATTTTATAATCATTTTTTATATTTTTTATTTTATTATTTTTTGTATATTTTAATTATTTAATTTTTTTAGATTTTTTAATTACTTTTTTAAAAATTACTTTTTAATTATAATGTTATTGCGGCCGCAATATCACTCAAAATTGACAAATTTAGAAAAAAAAAAAAAAAAAAAAACAGCCTATTTTTATTATATCTATGTCGACAATAATGATCAGAGTCGAGATCAGTTGTGTCTATTCTAAACATCAATCGCTGATAGAAGGTGAATATAGTTTAAGGCATTGTATTCATGAGATATGCCTTAAACGTCGAAAATAGTGTAAATCGGATTTATTTTAAAAGCTGAAGCAATTATGACTGACGAGAATTTAAAAAGAAATTACGATCTAACATTTCAAGGCTGCGGAAACCATCCTTTAAATTTCCAGAAAACACGACCACTTCGAGACTTTTTAAATTATAAAAAAAGCAACTACATTTCTTTAATTGGACGGCGTAGTCGCATGGTTTAGCGTACAACTGCTAAACTAAATATCTCGAGTTCGGGTCCCGTGCTGGAATTTGATTGACGTCCCTTAAAACTCCCACCTCTAATTGGGTACGAGATTCACGTCAGGGGAAGTTAAGGCAGCTAGGAAGATAGCGTTGACAAAAATATCACTTCATAAACCGAGTTTTAAAAAAAAAACAGGTAAACTCTACTACATTTTTACATGGACCGCTTGGTTAAAAAAGGAAACTACTTTTTAAAAAAAAGTTATACTTGTAAAATTTAGAGGTAGTGTAGAAATTCTTCATCGCTGGTATCGACAGGGTGCTTTAAATTTTTAACTTCATCCTCTTTAGTTTTTGAGATTAATTGTATTTCCGCGAGTCATATTATTGTGATGTGTATAGTTGCCACAAGTATATCATATTGATAAAAGTCAAATATTGACTCAATGTCTGCTCACTGATGATGAGGAACTCTACTGCCTCTATCTTATAGATCGTATGAAATTCATCTTCACGCACAATGGTGTATAATACGGCAAAACCTGCTGCTAGCTAGGGGTAGGACTATGAGTTACTACGATCTGAATTATAATTCAGGTAGCCATACTTTAAAAAACGTCCTTTTTTGCATACCCATCATCCCCTTTTCCTTTTTGTGCCCAAGACACATGGATCCGCTTGTATACCCATGGCATGATTTAAATGTCGGAGAGCCGTTCAGTAACAGAGCAACCAGTATCCCAGGAGCCACAAGGATTGAATCCGCAGCCCTGAATGTTCGATCGCGTATAAGTATAGTAACGTTAAACTCAATTTTTCTCGCGAATTCTAGAACCACCCTGTGATGTCATGCTTCCTAACATCATCACCCCAACGAAACTCGACTGCGGATTAAAGTTTACCAAACCGTAACCCGTGACAACGACGCGGATTATCTCGCCTGCTTCTAGGTTAAACAAACCACCTGTAAAGGAAACAAACAAAAAACAATGTCATTTATTTTTTTCACATTCCACTAAGAAGTAAAACTTAATATCTTTTTCAAACTACAAGGTATCTTTTTGGTTTTAGATTAAACACTACACTAAAATCAAAATTATCTTTAAAACCTGCAATTTCTCAATATTGCCATTCAATACATTGTAACTAATATATCCTGGGTTTGAATCCGGGTTCAAGTCAGTACGATTTCCATGAGTCCACCCAGCTCTAATGGGTACCTTAATCACGTTAGGGAAAGCAAAGATGGCTGGGCATAGTGCTGACATCCATATGCCTTGGTCTCTGAAGCAGATGAACTCTACTTCACCTGCCCCGTGAGATATGGGTACGAACGGGAAATGATTATGATATGCTGCATAACACGACCGTATGTAACTTAAAATAAGATATGTAGCCACTCCCTAGGTCATCGTCACAACAAACACCCTTTAAATATCAAGACAGCCTGACCCAATCTAGTTTATGGCACTGTAAAAGATTGTTTTTGCCCTGTAATTTAAAACGAACTAATCAGTTAACTCTCTTGTCACAATGCATGTAAGTCACATGAACTTGTCAGTATTTTGATAGAGAAACTTAGCTCTTATAACCGCAAATTTAACAACGGTTTTTTTTTTGGTTTGTTTTTGAGCACATACATTCATTATACGAAATTCAAGTCACATAGCTTAACATACATTATCATACAGGTATCTAACTTCACTATCATAACCTTACTAGTAAAGCTGGTCTCTCTGTCCCCTCTACAATCATCACAACAAGTGTGACTTGTCTTCAACAAACATCCACTTTTGGCAGGGTTGTTGTACTTGAATTTTTCTACAAAATGGCCCCATGTCTGATTCGATAAAATATGTTAAAAACAACATTTTATGCCTTTCTTCAATAGCCATGTTTCACAATATAAAAAATGCAAATAAATAAAAAAAATAAATGATTGAAATAGTTAAAACACATTATGGTAACCTTTACACATTTACCATGCAACAACACACCGGCAATAATTAAAAAAAATATTAAAATCAAAATAAGTAAACACAGGAAAAGTAAAATACTTATTTTTAAAAAGTTAATTAAATTTAGCAATAGCGCCAGATAAACAGAAAGAATATGTCTGAAAGTCATAAAAGGGAAAAAAAACTTTGTGTCGTTTAATTCACAAGTTATAACTTAAACAACTAATTTGCTTTTTAAAAGTTTTGTTTAGCTACTAATAAATGTTCATCGAAAAAGGTAAAACAGGTTCTGAGGCAAAACGTACACAAGACGCTGATTCTTTTCAGTCAATTTTTGTGTTGAATACAAATTTTATAATCAAAACAATACATTAAAATGAATGTTTTTACAGTCATTGATGACTGCTGTTGATAGTTTTCTCAAAAGACCTCTGGCAAGTTCTATTTCCTTAAAACTGTTCTCAAAACTAAGTACTATTGAGTTTATTTTTCAGTACCTGAGTCGTGTTTATAAGTGTATGAATACATGTTGTAAAAAAAAACCGTTCCAGTGGATTAGTTCCACAAGGTCAAGGAGACTCACTTGCATGAACATGTTTATTAGCCAATACTATTTTTTCCTATTCTCTCTCAAAGATGTGTTTTCAAGAATTAGTACAAACAGACCAGTTCTCAAGGAACACTGAGACGGATCCAAATGACTACAAGAGCCATTCATGGTTCTTCTTTCAGTTAGACAATGTAGAGCAGCTAAGCACTGATCAAGCTGTAGGCCTACAGCATGCCTGTGCATTATGGCAGCTGTAGCTGTTAGGTACAATTATTATAACCGAAAGGCCAAATCAAACATATGATCTTCTTAGTCTGACCTTGTCCTTGAACTCTTTACACGTGAGCTTGCTTTGAGGTTGGAAGTACAGACTGCTGTAGATGTAGTAGAGTCCAGTGTGTAGAATCTTCATGCCGTCAGACAAGACCTCGACTCCTCTGGAATGTTCTACCAGCGGGTCTGGTGTAGAGTTCTGATGGAGGAGCAACAGGGTCGCCTTCACGTTCCCAGTTGTTGGCTCTGTAATAAATAATATGACATGGTCATACTATTGTAAACTCCATTCTCAGAAATGTAAGTATGTTTTGGCACTGCTTTCAAAATAATTTGAAACGATTTAGCGGCAAGATAATTAAAGTTTTCTTAAACATTATGTTATAGTCCAAATGAAATCAAAAGAAATATAAAGGTGTTACCACTACGTTTAAATGTCTATATTGTTGGTAAATAATATAGAAGATATATACAATACAGTCATAGACCATTTATCTGGTAATCATATGATGTTTAATTATGCGAGATTAGATAAAAGATTAACGTGATTTTACAATGCAGATTACACTATTGACATGAAAAAATCAAGATTAATAATCGAAATTATGCATCAACATTGTGTCTGTATAAACAGCTTGAATTAATTTATAGAGGTGAAAAGTGTAATTAAATCAGCTTAAACTACCTGAGTTAGGTGCAGGTGGGTAGACACGTCTGTGAGCTGTTGCTGGACTGAAGAAAAACTCGGACAATGGACGTTCATCATGGACATCTGAAACATCAAGTTTGTGAATCAGAATCTAGCGCTGGGTGCACACTTTAAAACATCAAAGTAAAGTCGTTAAATACAGCATGCAAAAAGGTTTCACTCACCTGAAACCTCGGAACGGCTTTGTATGTTCTAGAAGAAACGATACAAATAGCAAAAAAGAAATAGAAAACATGATGTGTATATTTAATTTGAGTAATTTTGCAAATTTTAATATATATTTTTTTTAAAGCTCGTGAATTTTGTAACGGAACTGACGATAAAATACTTTACCACTCTCTCTCTCTCTCTCTCTCTCTCTCTCTCTCTCTCTCTCTCTATATATATATATATATATATATATATATATATATATATATATATATATATATATATATATATATATATATAAACCTATCGCTAAACGAACATGATTTGTGTGTTTTATTAAGCAGCGTATACCCGGCATAGACGCTTAACAAAAGAACATATAAACCTAAATAAAACACATACCCAAACCCAAACACAAATGCAAACAAAAACGCATGCACAAACATAAACGCAAACATAAACACAAATGCGAATACAAACAAAACGCAAACGCAATCCATAACCAAAACCTAAACCTAAACTCAAACAATATCTCAGAAAATGATGCAAAATTAAACGCGAACATCAACACAAACTTAAATGCAAACATAAGCGCATAGTTGTCATATTATAGCCCTGGACGCACGATTGCACTCTGATGGGGTGCAGGCGGAACGAAAACAAAACGCAAAAAAGAAAACAGAATACAAACGTAAACACAAACAAAAACGCATACACAACGCAAACACAAACGCAAATATAATTGCAAACCCCAAAAAACACAAACACGTACGTTAACACAACTATAAACGCAAATATAACCGCAAACACAAAAGCAAACAGAATACAAACGTAAACACAAACAAAAACGCAAACACAAACGCAAATATAATTGAAAACACAAAAACAAACACAAACATAAACGTAAATATAACCAAACGCAAACCTAAACGTAAAAAAATAACGCAGAAATTAAACACAAAAACAGAATTAAACGCGAACATCAACACAAACTATAATGCTAACCTAAAAGCATAGTTCTTACGGAATAGCCCTTGGCGTCAAATCGCACCCTGTCGTGGCGCTGGCGGAACTACCTGATTTAATTTAGTAAACGACTATAATACCCTATCTTATCCATAGTTTATCGCACTGCTTAAACTACATACACACAGAGCCACATAATCCATTTCGGCTTTGTATATTATATATATATATATATATATATATATATATATATATATATATATATATATATATATATATATATATATATATATATATATATATATATATATATATTGTATATGTTTGTATAAGAACTGACCATTTCAATGAATTTTGAGAGTTGGATATAATCATGAGCACAGCACTGCTCCACACCGTTCTCTCCATGTTGTAGAGTCAACGATTCTATCAGTGCGTTACCTCTGTGAAACATGCGCAACTTCGCACACTCAATACAGACAAGTGGCTTGCTCTGCTGAAAAAGTTATGTGTTCAAATGAAGGAAAAATGACTGAGAAGGTATCTAGATCTACTACTTCTATCCGGGTTGGTTACTTTAAATATTTGTTTTATCATAGTTCACAAGCCTAGTGGACGCTTGAAATATAGTAGATGTGTAGCATTCTGTCGCAAATATGGGACGGCGTGGCCTAGCGGTAAAGAGCTAGACTGCTAACCCGAAAGTCTCGTGTTCGAATCACGGTTCATGTCTGTAAACCGTCCCTGAGTTCACACTGCCTTGATGGGTACCTAACTCACGATAGGGCAAACAAAGGCTATCCATTCGTATGTCGAGTCCATTTGTAGAAGATTAGCTCTACTTTATCTGCTCCGTGTGTCTTGGGCATGAACGGGAAAAATAATGAATCGGTCTCGAATAGGCTGGTTTAAAAATAAGTTACACTTCATAGAAATGTGACGTCAATTTGGCTATAGGGCCCTACTCCTGGTGTTTTAATTCCAGGTTCATTTTTTTTTAAAATTGACTTATCTGTTTGTTCATTTAGAACAGGGGTTCCCAACCCAGTGCCCGCGGGCGCCATGGCGCCCGCCGAACGATTCGTATGTGCCCGCCTCTCACTATTCGACAGAGACAGAGTTTTTTCATAAACATTATTGAAAGGTTGAAGGGGATGGAAATCGAAAATTGCAGGGTGGGGGTGCAAATCGAAAATTTGAGGGGGGTGCAAATCGAATGTTTGAGGAGGGAGGGGGGGTGCAAATCGAAAGTTTTGTCCCGGGGTGACGGGAAGGGTCGCTACGCCTCTGGAAGGAGTTTGTCGATTTAAAATAGGTGGTGCCAGCCAACCTACCGATATTTTAGAATGTGCTCTAGAGTAAAAAAAGGTTGGGAACCCCTGATTTAGAACGTTGTGTTTTGAATTAGCTGTACCAAATACCATTATATATGACATTGAGTATCAGTGTTAAGGATACAGTAATATATTGTAGATGTTTCGTAAGTGCTTAAAGGTGTGAGGAGACAGATTATAGGGACCAGAAGAAGATACAGGCCAAGTGGGGGGGGGGGGGGGGGAAGGTCGGCTTAAGGGGTAGGGATGGGGGTGGCGGAATTGTTGAAAATAGATCTTTTGTTTTATTAGGGGAAACGTCCGATTTGGAAAAAGACATGCGATCAAACGTCCGATACCCTTACATACACATAAACATGCATACGCATATATATATATATATATATATATATATATATATATATATATATATATATATATATAGAGAGAGAGAGAGAGAGAGAGAGAGAGAGAGAGAGAGAGAGAGAGAAAGAGAGAGAACGAGAGAGAGAGAGAAAGAGCTAGAGAGACGGTGTGTATAATTTTTAAAATACACATATAATTATATATCACGTGACTTACTTCTATGTTATTGGTCAGCAAAGCCCCATAGGAGATGGCGATACAGCACATAACTATCAGAATCAATGACAGCACGATTGTCAACCTAAAAGCAATACAAATGTATACACTGAAAGAGTAGCGATCAAAATGAAAGCAATACAAATTTAAATATTGAAATGCTTACTTTAGTTCATTTTTAATACACACTAAATCAAGATGAACCACGATCTATAAAATTTAAATTGTTGATTTGAGCTAATTTTCCGTAATGTTTTCTTTAAACAGATAAATAATGATTAATATCGAATACAATTTATATATACATTTTAGAGTTGAAAATATATTATATAGCAAAAGGCAGTGCCTTAATGTAGCTTTGGATTTGTTATGATTTGTGTGTGAATATTATTAGTATTCTTAGGTATAATAGATTTTATGAGTTGAAATTTAATGAAAAACCATTCGTGTAAATAACATTTATTGTATGGATAAAATTATACACTAAAATTAAGCTAACCCCTGAAAACCCTTTGAAGGAAATTTCAATAATTATAATCCAAGCTGTTTGACGGGTGGTTGTGTGTTTATTATACGCGAGTATATATGAGAATATAGGACCTGAATATTTTCACGTACAAACCAGTGTTTCTTCCAGAATTTTCTACTCCGGGAGGGGGGGGGGGGAGGAGCACTTGATTATTGGTATATGTTTTCTATATAAATTCCATTTCGTTCGTGGGAGCGGTGTCTCTGCCCCCCCCCCCCCGCCCCGAATAGATGCCTGGAAGAAGCACTGGTACAAACTTTTTTCATTCTCTGTTAATGTTTGCCTATGGGACATTTTTTTCACTTCTAAACCATGGATGTAATTGCGCCAAAGTATTTTATTTAGTGGTTAAAAATATCGCGTTGTGGAACAATAAAGTTTCTCTGTTTAGACGTCGTTTATTAAGCAGCCTGACAACTTAAATCCTTGTCGAGAAACAGTAGCCTGCTAAAATCAAAAGACTTCTTTTAACAGTTGTAAGGCAATGGATTCAACCGAGCCAAGTTTTGAATTTATTTCTATGACCGATTACAATATTTTTTAAATACATGTACGATATTTTAAAATTAAATAATGCAATAAAATCTGTTTGCTTTCTTTTGTTGGATTTTACTATAGAATGAACGGATTTTATGGTTTTATTATTTTCGATACCCAAGTTAAATTTGTAAAACGTCAAACATAATTTGGTATTTTACATTTTGTAACTGAAAATGTACTTAAACGTGGCATAGCAAGGATTAGTCGATTGAAAAAAAGTAGAAGTCGTATAGTTTTGAGTACAATAAATTACTAGGAGGTAGGGTTTTTAGAAGATCGATCACGTAATTTCTGTATAGCCAATCAATACTTGTCTTACGAAAGTGAAAGCTCGGGTTATAATTTAGGCTTGATGAAAATGAATAGAAAAGTACCCTTAAACACACACAAACATTTGCAGGTTTTATAACCCTGATTTTTAAAATACTAAATTTCTGAAATTTTTAAAGATTAAAAAAAAATTCTTTAAGGCCGCCATAAGCCAAAACTGATAAAACAGGACTATTATTCGCAGAGGCGTATCGACGGAGGGGGGGGGGGCGGACCCCACCGGGTGCTACCATTTAGGGTGCTGACACCAAGGCAAAAATAGCAAAATATATATAGAAAAATAATAATTCCTCTTAATTAAGTGATTAATTCGAGTGTTAAATAGTCTTTTAACAGGTGCAAATCCAAAATTTGAGGAGGGGTGGGGGGTGCAAATCGAAAGTTTGAGGGGGGGGGGGGGCTGCAAAAAACGAAAATTGAAAGTTTGTCCCCGGGAAGAGTGGCTACGCCTCTTGGGGGGTGACATCATTAAGTGCCGCAACGGGTGACACCCGACCTCGCTACGCCACTGGTTATTCGTGTCCATAATACTAATAGGAGGATTGCCATGAATTCGTTGATGTTCGCTGACGTTTTCTTGAAGACCTATCCAGTAACATTTTTTTTAAAAAGTTGATATAGAAATTAGAACCAATACCTCTGAAATTTTCTGACTGATTCGTAGGACTGTTCTAAAGTCTGAAGACCACTTTCAACAAGAGGAAGAGCTTTAGACATTTCACACAAATAGTTCAGATCCAGTTCTTCAGAGAGATCTGATATACATTTTTGAAATAACAAGGTCTGAGTTGATTTGAAAAGCTTTCAATTAACTAAATAAATAGAACTATAAACATAGTTTGACTAAACTGTTAACATTAAAATATGATTAGATGAAAATGTATATTTAAAATATTAAATTAAAAGAAGTAGTAATTCAAAATAAAAAATATACATGTAAAAGTGTCAAAACACAATTTTAAGAAGAAATACAATGTTTTTAAATAAAGTATGTGAATATTTGATGTTAAAAAAAAACACTAAAATATTACACGTAGGCTTAAAAGTATTTTAACGCTAATAATGATTTATCATGTTTTTTACACAGTATATATGTTACAAAACTAATCAGACTTGCTGTACATTTTTATTTTTAGTTAACTTATACTACTTTACGTTTAATAAGCCTTGTCTGTTCAACTTGGCGCTTATACCAAGCCTATATGACTTCTATGCAACCCCCAATGATCAGTAAGGTAGTCAAAACAAGGTCTAACAATCGAAATCTCGTTCTCGGAAGGTTTGTGGAATTTTGTGAGAGATTTTACTGCCATAATTTAGAGCTTACGTTATAACCTTATAAACTATATTAAAGCAGAAACTAAACGAACATCTACATTTTAACAAATTCAACTTACCCTATCGTAACCATCGAGGCAAGTGAGGGGAAAACACACGTAATATATCGTTCTACACTGCCATATTTTTTTAGTAGGCTGCTTTTTACTGTTAGATGGTTTAGATGCTTTTTCTTTAAGATAATTTGGTTTCTGTTTAGATATGGAAACAGATACATTATTGAAGGTAAAGGAGCTATGACGTGTTTATTTAAATTTCGATACTTTACGTTTGTTAAGTAGGATCGATATACATTTTTAGGTTGATGTTTTCACATCGATTCAGCAATCTTTTAGGCAACGTAATATCGGGAAAACCACGTATGAAACTTTTTCAGGAAAATCCATGTTGAACCTTGAACGTTGGAGCAAGTCGGCTGCCACTTTTGTGAATGTTGTAATGTTTAAATTCTGTTACGTTATAAAACAACCAGGAACTAGTATGTCTAATAAAAATGAAAACAAAAATTAACATTTTACATGTTAACAGCACTTTTCGTTTGGCTAAAACTTAAACTCATGATTTAAAAGAAATTTAAATTCGTGTAGCATAAAACAAATTACTTAATGAACAATTCTTTATGAGACTAATTACAACACGTACCTTATGAGAGGTGAGATTAAATAGCCCGTGGTCAAACTACTGAAACAAAGTTTAGACTTAAAGAGTAACACGTTTATAATGGATCAGTTCGAAAAAAATTGTATCGTGTAACTTTCAAGAAAATTCAATCTTTCATCGATTATATTACATCAACATTTAACGTAGGGGAGGGGAGTTTCTTTCATATCGCTGTAAAAATATTGTAATATATATATATATATATATATATATATATATATATATATATATATATATATATATATATATATATATATATATATAGTGAACGTTCAGATAGTGTTGCTTGATATCAACAACAAAGGGAATTCCTAACATGAATTTCGATATCATAAAATACAAGGAAGGGTTTATGGTTTAAACACGATATAACTGATATGGTCATCAATGTGGAAGATAGTAGCATACTATTTACACTTTCCCTGTTGCTATCAAGAAATAGATTTAAACAGTTTTGAACGGTACCTTCAGTGTTAAAATTAAACTTAAAAGCCAGCTCTATTTAAAATATATTTACGGATTGAAAAACAAAAACAAAAGCAAATAACGTTATAATAAACGAACATAAAACGATGTTTATTAAATGTTTATTAAAATTAAACAATACTAAAATGAAATACTACAACTTATGTCTCATCAGAGCTTCACTAACTCGACATTTACTTCAGTCGCGACTTTACTTCCCTGTTCAGCATGTAGCTGCGTGTCTATGCTTCGCTTATTCCACCGTTTAGTGTGGAATGTTTAGGGATTTAGAGCGGAACGTTCTGGGAATAAGAGGTCACTACATGAATGTTGCTTCTGCGTTGCCGCTGGCCCGAAAGCAATAGAAGGACAGAACCAACTTTAAATGTGATTCTACTCTATTAGTGGGTAAACATTCAAAAGTTAACAGCCTACTAAAGGAATGTTCAACTAAAATGAATGCAAATCAGAAGCATAACTCATGTTCACCAAAAGAGGAGAAGAAGCAGGTGTATGGACATTTGTTGACTTAGAACAAACATATTGTTTAATAAAAAATATCATCACTGCTTTTATTGTCTATTTAAGAAGATGACTCCATAGAGCTAGAAGCAGTACGGTTCATCTATTTCAGTAAACTCGGAATATTGAGGAATTATGTGGTCAGGACTATGCCCAGCCGCTTTAGTTTCCCTCGAGCGAGTCAAATGTCCATCAGAAATGGATGGACTCAAGGACATTCGGCTGTTTTGAGCGCAGGATCCGAACGCCAACAAAAAGACCACAAAATTAAGAAAAAAATAATGTTATGAGATACCCGTATTTTATTTAACATAGTATCAAAAAAACATATCAATAACTAAGTAAGGTTAAAAAACAATCGTGTTTGACATCAAAATCAATCACTGGGAAATATTCTTTTACTAACAACCAAGTGTTTGATTTTTAATGGGTAAAATCAATCATTACTAAACATATTAACCTTCCTCCCATAAGTCAGTGATGACTCAAGATGCGTTTATAACTAAACAGATTTTTAAAAAATCTAACACTGTCGTTTGCTTTGTTAATAATAAACATGTGTCGTTGTTTTAGCATCGAAAAGGGACCACAATAGGACGCAAATAACTGAAGTTGCGTTTCCACTTCTCAACTAAATGGGTAAAGAATGAAGATAGTTAAATAAACAATTGAAAATGCTTAATGTATTTTACAACGTTGCCTTGAAAGGGAAACAAAATATATATTCTGTAATATTGTATTTAATGTTATTTGTTTTTTTTTATTAATTGTGTGCATAACTAGATAAAAAAAACAAATAAGCCTAAAATTGCATCAAGCAAACAGTTTAAATACATCTCGCAGCTCTTGTCACTACTCTACACGTGAGTACATATAAGCAAGGGTTGTGAGTCGTCCTTTGTAATCATGTCTGCTGTCCTATGCTGATCCCCCACATTACACAGCCGCCAACATAAACAGTCCAACAAAACTTGACTCTCTCTGGAGATGGTTCAGACCGTAGCCAGAAACTACAACACGAATAACGTCACCGGCTTGTAGGATTGTAGTCGTGGCTGGGTAGAAAAGCAGGAGTGTAAAATCTTGTATATATATATATATATATATATATATATATATATATATATATATATATATATATATACATACATATATATATATATATATATATATATATATATACATATATATATATATATATATATATATATATATATATATATATATATATATATATATATATATATATATATATATATATATATATATTGTTACGATCCCATGGGGGGATCTTACCTTTTTCGGACATGGCTGAATGTAGGTTAATTAGGGTGTCATCTAGAGATTTATGGATGGGGGAAAACTCTCGACGTGAACCCCCTTTTTCGTGGTCGGGCCAGCCAGTAATGAGAGATGTCACGGACTGACGCAGGAGGTCGTGAAAGAGACAAAAGGTGGGATGTTATTGTTGATGCTAGCGGGTTACCCCCAACCCCCCCCCCCCCCCCCCACCCCCCGCCCTTCTCACCTGAATCGCCTGGCAAATGTGGGGAAAAGCCGTACGAGAGGTTAAGTCAGGACATAGACCCCTGCACCTCGACTGGACTATTTTAGGAGGGGTAGACGGCAGACTGGGGACACTCACGGACACTCACGAGACGGAGACTCGGCTCGGATAGCTAGAGTGAGGAGACGATGGGGCGTCTCTGTGAGCTAGTGGAAAGCAAAGAGACGTCTGTAGACTTAGAATAGGATAGACAGTTAGGGACCAGTAGGGAAGTCGTACTAAGAACTTTAGTTGTTGTAGCTAGTTGTGTATATTTCTGATTGTTGTACTTCGGTGGCGGGTTAACTTTAAGTGTTGTAATTTGTGGAAATAAATAGAGATCACTGAAGTTGTCGTTTATCTATTTTTATTTTTCTGCTTCTTGTTTACGATTCCCTGACTAGTTCGAAAGGATTAGAGAAGGGGGTCGTAACAATATATATATATATATATATATATATATATATATATATATATATATATATATATATATATATATATATATATATATATATATATATATATATATATTTATTTATTTATTTATTTATTCAAATATATATATATATATATATATATATATATATATATATATATATATATATATATATATATATATATATATATATATATATATATACATATATATATATATATATAACACAACACACCCGTGTAGCTGGTTTCCTCATCTAGCACACACGTGTCAGGACACACGTGTCGGGCCATGGCAAGTATAGTCGTGTGTTGTCGGTCACCTTCCATCGTTTTCTGTATGCTGTTGGTTGTCATCTAAAATATTTTAAAATATATTCTTTTGTAGGAATTTCAGACATCTGCAATCTTCTAAATGTACTCAACCAAAGATCATTAGACCATATAAAAATAAAGTTCCTTTTCGAACCTCACGGTCCTGTAGAGTTCACCTGTTTCTGTGACCTCGGTATATGAAGGTGTAGTGTGGTCAGCGTTACGCCCAGCCGCCTTATTTACTTTCCCTAACGTGAGCTAGGTACCCATCAGAGCTGGTCGAACTCAGGGACGTTCTGCGTACTTAAACCGGATTTGAATTCGAGCTGTTTGTGTAAGCAGTCGTATTCCTCCTATTCGACAACTCTGTCCCAAATTATGACCGTAGAAATCGACAAAAACCTGTATGTAAAATCGAAACTCGTACCAAGTTTTTCATCGACTTCCTAATAAATATGCAGTATTTTACGATTTTACTGTGTGTGGCATGTGATGTGCCATTCCCGTCTCGCTCAAAGTTTTAGCAAAAGGATCCAGTAATAATTTTCCGAATAAAACGGGCTTCCAACTGGACGGTTTACGACAAAATAAGTAAGTTACTCTCAACAATTCATATTAAGACAAAAGAAATTTAAAAAAACAAACATGACACATGCGTATTTATCCCAAAGCAGCTAAATGCACTTAATGTTCTTAAAGAGCTTATTATTTTGTATAAGCTGTACATAGATGAGCGTTTAATGCAACTGAAAGAGCTTAAATGAGCAGCGATTAGATCTCAACTAATGTTATCAGCTTAATATTTGTTAGATTCTTAAAATCGAGAAAAAGGACCGTAATTTATTATTGTAGTAGTTGTAATACATTGTGGAAATGTAATGTACGACCACCGCTTAAGGCGAGATGTACAATTGGAGCCGTTTTGACCAAAGCCCTATTGTCGACGAAAAAGCATTTCATACTATTAACGTTGATTTACCTTGTGGATAAGTTCACTGCACGGAGTGACATTACTAGTCTTAAAGTGTAAGTTGCTGTAGATTTTGTAGAGTCCAGTGTGTAGAATCTTGATGCCGTCAGACAAGACCTCAACTCCTCTGGAATGTTCTACCAGCGGATCTGGTGTAGAGTTCTGGTGCAGAAAAAAGAGACGGGATACGTTTGCGTAGAACACTGAAGAAAACAAATATGAATTTGAAATGACAACAATAGTAAGCAGAACATTTATGTAAGAACAATACTGGGGTTTATAAACTTCAGGGTTAGAGTATGTAAACTTTAAAATTTTGTTATGGTAAAGTGGTAAAAGTATAAGTACATTTCAATATTTGTATAATTTGCAGGCACATTACTACGATTTATTAATAAACTATTCAATAATATTGTATTTTATATAAAGTCATGCATTTAAAATATCCAGAGGTAACATATTATTTAATTGAAGGTCTATTCTGCAGAGCGAAATTCTCTAAAAAAAACAAACGACTTTACCTTTTCGGTAAAACACTGAATCTTCCGTTATCCAGACACGCCGATGTGCTGACACTGGCGATGACATGCCGCGTCCAGCAGACAGGCCCAGTGAATCTGTTGTAATGGAGATTTTAATTAAGTTTACGGCTGAATGTTCCATCACAGGGTCGGATCAAGTCAACCTTATGTCTACATAGTTACATTTTGAAGAGTGTGTGAAAGAAACTCACCTTCCGGTGATGTACTCTCCCCTTTCAAAAGCTGAAAGATCTGTCATAAGATATATATATATATATATATATATATATATAATATATATATATATATATATATATATATATATATATATATATAATCTACTGCTAAAATTTAATTAACCTCACGATTCAAATACTTACTTCGATTTGATTATGAACAAGTGTATTTGATGAAGACTGCAGTGTAAATAGTACAACACTGATAGTAACAACACTCAGAACGAGGCTTGTGATGCTGGAATTCAAATCTTTGTGATTAAAACTTTGAACTAAGTAAATTACTAATTATTCGATTTATAAGCCGAATTGATGTAATCTAAATTTACACTAAAATGTAGGCCTACATTTAAAAACATTTTGAATGATAACCCTGATGAAAACGATAAATGAAATAATAATACAATATAGAAAGTATTGTTAATGTATCCATAGATGATTTGCCTGTTTTTACCTGAGAACAGTCTTAGATTTCCCACGCATTTTAAAAATAATTTGAAGTGCTATCGTCTGAAATTTAAAAAAAATAAAATAAACTGAAAATTACTGAATCATTATTTTTTTCATTTGGTACGTTCTATTATATACGTTTTTACCATGAAGTTTAAAGAAAAGCTAGACCCTCGCCTCATATGGTCCACTAATCTCTAGTTTTAGGTTAATATCGGGACTGAACCCTCGTTCAGGAAAGGTTCGATAGCTAGGGACAGTAACACAGATAAGAGAGACAACTCCAAAATAAAACAACTGTTTCCTTTCAGTTTGTTCGTGTTGGGCAAAGGCTATGGAAGCAAATCCAAAACGAAAAGCTGCTGAAATCATTGTCAATAGATCCAATCTTGTACACGTCATGTCCAACATTACGACGACGAAGAAGAAAAGAATCAGAAATTACTTAATCGTTTTGTTAATTAGATTTCTAGTTAAATTCTGTAAAAGTATGTGTTGAATAATAATCATTAAAAAAGTTTTAAAAAACCCACGTTTTCTGATTGAACTAAAAAGTAGAAAATAAATGCTATACATCACAATAATGCAAGCGATCACTCTACTATAAGCGATCAAAAACGTGGGGCGCCGAAGTAAAAGTTATATTACTATTGATTAGATAATACTATTGACTTTTATTAGGGAGCTTGTAGAGAGTCAACAGTATTAGAAACTGTAAGAAAATCACGGCGCCCCACGTTTTTGATCGCTTATAGTAGAGTGATCGCTTGCATTATTGTGATGTATAGCATTTATTTTCTACTTTTTAGTTCAATCAGAAAACGTGGGTTTTTTAAAACTTTTTTAATGATTATTATTTTCTACTTTTTAGTCTTTGTCTGTTTGTTTGCATTAAAATCTTGCTATCGATTTTATCTTTTCACTTTTTTTTGGGTAAACGAAGACAACTCGTAAAAAGACAACTCGTAAAAAGACAACTCGTAAAAAGACAACTCGTAAAAAGACAACTCGTAAAAAGACAACTCGAAAAAAAATCGTTGTGTGAATACGTTACTGACTAGATTTGAACCCGTGTCGAGTGGGATAGCAATCGTGTGCCCAACCACTCGACCATATCGTCTCCCCCAAACTGGCCTACCTCCTGTAAGTTTAAACTCGGTTCAAGCTAAATTCTCTGCCCCTAAGCCTGTGGCGACATGTGATCGTTCGCTTCACTGCGCGCGAGGTACGCGTCGCTGGTTTTTTTTCTAATGGCTAGCAGAGGAGAATTATATATATAGATTATATAGCGGTCTAAAATGCTCAATAAAATGTTTCCATTGATCAATTTAGTAATAATAACAATTGAATATTCAATGGTCATCCAAAAGAAAGCTTCCCTGAAAATTTCAGCGCGCTAGCTAACTGGGAAGTGCAAGAAATTTCGATCGCAAGATTTGATTGGAAAGACAAACAGGGAAAAAATAATAGCAACTGTCAAATATTAAAGTTTACGCTTGCGATATAATCAAATAATAATTTAGTTTGCTCCTTTATTTTGCTAACGATTAGATGCATTGTGAGATTCTATTTGATTTAAATATATTAGGAGTATCATATGTAGGTTAATCAATGATTGGGTAATATAGACATTTATTTTGAACTTAAAATAGTTAACAGTCCATTTTTAAAACAAATTTTTAAAAATGACACCCTGAACAAAATGTTTTATTTTTTTTTCATTTTCGTATTGTATTATTCATAAGATAAAAACTGTTTTACTGGTTATATTTTATTAAAACATATTTATTTTTAATCTTTAATTCACCATTAATTTATCCATTTACAAATATTTCTCTCGGATTTTCTTTATAAAATAAAAATGAAACGTACTAGAATAAAACAATAATCACAAATCACAAATTAACAATTAAAGAATATTGCATATAGGAAACCACTTTCACATACCTTGTGCTATGGCAATATTTTGTTCCTGACTGCCTTACTCAAAGGACGTCCCTTTTTCAATGATTCTAATGACGGATTATAACGCCCTTTTATCAAACAAATCAAACCCATTCTCTTTCCCCCATCACCCCATCACGCCTTCTTACCCCCTCACACGTCCTTTTTCCCTCTCACCCCACCCCCTTAGAGCAAAATTCAGGAAAAGAACTTCTCAGGGAGAGGGGCGGGAAGGTAGTACAAACATCCGTGGATATGCACCGTCTCTTATCTTTAATTGCATGCATTCTTAGCAGTGTTGAACACCCAACCTACGACCTACATTCTCTACACGTCAGAGTAATATTTATATAATATTTATAGTTAGCCAGCCACGGCTAAAACTGCTTCACAAAGCTTTGCATATTCAGAAAAGTTTTTAGAAGTAGTTGGCTATTTATATATAGTTACTCGAGTGGCATACACATGTTTACATTTTGTGAACAAACGTCAGGATTTCTCGTTTATTAATTATAACTTTTTCTTCAGTTCGGCCCGTTACCCCTTGCTAAAGCAAACAAAACTATTTAACGACCTATACACAAAACTTGGCCAACATATTAAAATGTTTACCCTCTACCCCGATGAGAGATTTTTAAATAATAAATGGTAAATGTTTAAAATCTAAATAAATAACAATAATAAAATCATACACTCACAAAATTGACAAGATTATACTAACCGTGCCTCTTGAACACAGTCAGCCCGCACAGGTGCTTTATTACGCGGAACTTGAATACTCATTTACACCAGGGGCGTAGCGAGGGGGGGGGGGCGGGGGATGCGGACCGCACCGGGTGACACCATTTAGGGGGGGTGACACCAAGGCAAAAAATAGCAAAATATATAGAGAAAAACTCGAGGGGGGTGCAAATCGAAAGTTTGAGGGGGGGGGGGGGGTGCAAATCGAAAATTTGAAAGTTTGTCCCTGGGGAGGGTCTCTATGCCTCTGGGGGGGGGTGACACCATTAAGTGCCGCACCGGGTGACACCCGACCTCGCTACGCCACTGTATACACCATAACCATAAACATATCAGTGTATTCAGACTATCTTAACCTGCCGATAACCATTTTCCCATTGCTGTTGATTGTTTGTGTTAATGATGATACTGCGTTACTATATTTGTTATACTTACAATTCGAACGAATGATTCTAATAATTTTCAAACAATCTGTCGACTAGTCCTAAATGTGTGTGGAAACATTTAACTCACCGAGCGACTCTAAATTTTTTAAATAATTCATTCAAGAAATACCAGAAGGAATAAAGACTGGCTTAGTTTATATATTAAACTTGATTATTTATTTGACTTTATTTTACATTAGGGTGGTGGAGGGAAGGGGAGTGTGGTAATTTTTTTCGTTGCACAAATTCAGAACTTAGGTTCGACATTTAGGTGACGAAAAAAGGGACTATATTTGAACACCTTGTAGGTTATACAGTGTCGCGTTTCACCCGTTACGGTCCGTATACCCCAACTTCATCACGTGACACCTCCTGAGGCAAAAACAAGTCAGCTTTACCTCTCGGGCTCAATGCGACCGAAAGAAAAACCATTTCTTCTAGTTAGCAGTCTACGAAAGCTTGGAGTCGACCAAAGCAATCATAATGGCGGTTAGCCTGGCTTTCCTCCAATCTGTGCTTCATGTTGATTGGTCGACTGTTCTCCAATGGCCGATTTTTATTTTTAGATTTTCTGACATGATTGTATTTCACTATATATGATAAAATAGACGGTCGTTACGCGGCTATATTTAAATTATCTTTGCCATCAATGTAAATAGTTGTCAGCGTGGGTCGCTTGTTAAAATCTAGTAAACGTATTCAATACAAAATAGATCGACCCAGTTAGGTTCTGTCTGGTTGGAACGTTTATGATATCAGTAATAAATGGCTTCAAAACGCCCAGCATAAAATCATAGATGTACATGTTAAATGTCATCATAACCATCGGGTTTCCATCAGATTACATAGCACTTGAAACCTGGATCATATTTGAATAGCAAGGACCAATAGGCGGCCTTGATTTTTTTTAGTTGTAGGCTATGAAAGGCGACTTCGGGGACAACGGTTAGGAAGGATCGCTAGACCTTCTTGGGTAAAACGTAAGCAGGCTGCTAAAATTGATGACAAGCTTTTACATCTTGTGTAAATCCTGTATGTAAACTGGCGAAGTTTGCCAATATTCTCGTGGAGAACATGAATACTAAACAGAACAAGCTAAGTAGACGTAAGGGAAAGGGAAAGGGAAACGAACAATAATTAGCTAGGCTCTTCGGCCTATCTATAACTTAGGCCATTTATAGTCAATATGGGGTTTTCAGTGGTATCATTAAAACAAGGGTACCCCGATGAATTGCAATTTTGATACATTATGTTATTCCATGTTAATTCCGAGAAAATTTAACCTTGGTAACTGACATAGACAATGAAAATCTAACAAAAGTGAATTGTTTTGCTTTACAAAATATGCTGGCTATTTACATACATGGGCGAACCAACACTTTTATTAAAGTAGGAAACGGTGTTTCATTTGTTTTTTTCAACGCATGTAAAATATTGTTGTTATTAATGCTTTTAATATGTTTTAGATTTCATGAGTCGTTTTGACTCAAGAAAGACCGCACCTTAAGAATAAATATAGTGCTAGTTAAGTTTAAAATTAGAGTTTCGACTAGCTCTTATTGTCAACGTATAAAGATACGTTGAGAGTAACTTATGCTAAAAGTGGAAAATAAGCACAAAATACTTTCTTATCATCTTTTCCCATTTGTGATCAAGACTCGCGGGGAAAATGAAGTACAGTCCATCCGTTTCAATGATCTAGGGATACATGGGGATAGTAATAGGAGTATCATATGTAGGTAAAATAATATATGAGTATTTTAGAAATTTATTCAGAACATAAAATACCTAACAGCCCATTTTTTTAAACAAATTAAAAAAAAATGACAACCGGTACAAAACGTTTTATTTTATTTTCATTTTCGTATTTTATTATTCATAAGATAAACACAGTTTTGATGATTATATTTTATGGAAACAACTTTTCTTATTTTTAATTCATTCTTCATTTA